CCCGCAGCCCGCCCGGCCCCGCGCTGGGCTTCCCAGAGGGAGGTCGGCCCGGCTGTCACTTCAGGAAACCCCTGTTTTGCTGTGTTGCTGGCAACGAGTTATTAAAAGTGAAAAATCATAAGCCACGTTTCCTTTTTGCCGTTTCTGCCGTGACGATGATTTTGATTTATATGTTTTCGGAAGCTTACAGTAGTCTTGAACAATTCTCTAAAGAGTTGAAAGCTGCAGTCTCGGTTAAGAGTTCAGTGCCTGCAGCACAAAACTAAATTATCATCTTCTAAAAAGTTTCTGTGAAGATGATCTCCGAAGCATACTGTTGGGGCAGTATCAGTATGAAAATACCCTGCATTGCGTTATTGAAACAGAGAGGTTTTGAGATTGCTTTTTTTTGTTGCTCACTTTGTTTTTTTAAGGTAGTGCTAAGGAGAGAGTTCTTAAACAGCAGAAGACAACTGCATTGTGATGGTACAGTCTTTACAGTTTATTCTGGAATGCAGCTAAAGGTATTTCAGCTCTAACTCCATAATGAAACTCAACAGAAAATTTCTGTCTGCAAAAGCAATCCCAGAAGGGAACTGAGCTGCATGAGAGTGTGGAACCGCCTTGCTATTTAAAAACATCATTGGAAGAGCACAAGAGTAAAACCAGCAATCTCTTATCAGTGCTTTATATGAAACCTTTTTGCTGAAGTTACTCAGCCCCTCAGGGACGTTTTGCTGTGGATTGCTTAGTTCTGACAAGCTTCTGTCAGTCCCAGGAGAATTCAAATGAATGCACAGGCAATGCTACAACTTAAATGGGTACTCCAGCCTCCTTGTATCTGTCACAGTGTTTCTTAAATACAAGACAATGTGACCTGTACATGATAAGTCTGTAACAACATAAGCTTTGATTCTTTACATAGCAGACGTAAAGGTTGCTTTAGTGAAACTTGTAATTCATGCTTACTGATGTGTACTAATCAACTTTTTCCTTCTTCATAATGCTTTTTGCATAATACGTTCACTGACCATGCATAATGAGATGGAAGTGAAATGCTGTAAATTAGATTAATAAGCAATAGAAATATCAATGAGCACCTGTGGTCTCAGAAGAACAAGGCAGCAAGTACAAAAAGCAAATTTCTCTTCTCCACCTTCTTTCCATTCTAGTCAGAATAAAGTATTTATGCCAACAAGGGAAAGAACAGGACAACACAATCACTGAATAAGAAGTGATGGCTGTTTTATGGTGGTCTTAAGAGTTAAGTAAAGTAACCTAGCTAAAATATTGTAGGGGGTTATTCAGATAAAGAGATTAAAAACCTGTTATAGTGATTCTTTGCTTTGGAGAGCATGACTGAAACTTGTTCTCCTTTGTTCACAGTCTTAGATTTTTAACAAATTAAGCTACAGTTGCTGTGGCTACTTCTAATTAAGCCAACAGAAAAGTTCAGTAGTCTAAATTCTAGTAAGCTGCCCAGGTTAAAATGTAGATTTCCCCTTAAATGTTAGCTTAGCGATGCATGCTGTAAGATAAGTACCTCATTCTTCTTTGGACTCCTGCTTCTAGATACATGATGAAGACAGATTGAGTTGCTCTGGCTTAGGGCCACAAGCTGAGCTGTGTGTTGCTCGAAGCCAATCCCAGCTGCAGGGTAAAATGCATAAGAGAAACTCGGTGAAGGTAGTTCAAGGTAGCACATTTTCTGTCAGAACTGAAATAGCATAAAAGCCTGTATGTGGTGACCTACTGCTTACAGCCTAACAAAATTCGGTAACCGAGCTGTATCCAAATGTGTATTTGTGGGTTTCTTTTAAAATGCTGTGCTCTTTAAACCTAGTCAAAGATTGGGCTGTAAGTTGTTTTAGTCAATTTTTCTGTGAGCTGAATGAAGTGAGAATTGTGAGAGAAAGGAACTTTTAGTTGTACTTTTAAAACATTTGGATTATTTTTTTAAGATGCAAAATCCTTAATACCCAACACTATATAGAATGAAAATTGCACTAAGGCCAACATCCAGCCCACTGAAGCCCAGTATGAAGACAGCAGATCATGCTGTAAATCTACCGAAGTTTGAAAGCTTATCTATAAACTCAATTAAGTAGGTGCTGCCAATTGTAGTTTATTGCCATCAAACTTAAAACCGTACAATGGTTTGTGATATATGTAAATACATGCCTGTGCCATTTGGCTGAAGTGTAACCCGTCATTGTTGTGCTGTCTTGCAGATAACTTCCTTTTTAGTGACGAAATCATAGCCAATGGTTTTCACTCCTGCGATAGCGATGAAGATGACAGAGCCTCGCATGCAAGTTCTAGCGACTGGACCCCAAGACCACGTATAGGTAGAAGCCTGTATAATGTTCTTAGATGTTCTTTGCCTTTGAACAGTTACTTAATTCTTCCCAGCCTTCATGTGATTTCTTCTGTCGCAAAAATATGGCAATTACTGCTTTTGAGCAGTTTAGAGTTGCTGCATTCTCTATGTTATTCAAGGAGTTTTAAAATGAACCTTGCTGTATTTTGATTAAAAGTGTCACTGTCTTTTTTCATGTGTAGAAATCCTGCTGTGATCCATATTAAAAGCATATGCACAGACTCATGCATGAACCCATTTATGGCACATTTCTAGCCTGTTTCTCTAGTACTGATTATTTAAGGAACAAGAAGGATTCTTGTATGATTTTAGTCAGTCAGTAGGGCTCACTGTCCTAAGTCTTGGATCAGTCTAGAAATTATTAGTCTGCGTGTATCCTGTGTATAGGCAATGGAGAAGTTAAGCATGGCAGTTCGGAACTCGGTAGGAAGTTCTTGCCTGGCCCAGAGGCAGGGCAGGTGCTCAGGTCACTGGGGATCTGTGTGGGACAGCAGCTTCCAGGGCGCAGGGGGGTTGGAATTTCAGGGCTTTTGTCTTACCCAGGCATAATAATCCCACAGCGTTCATTTTGCCAATATTGATAAGAATAGCAGCAGGAAAACACATTACGGTAACACAATATTCCACTAAAAATCTGCCGCTAAGTTGTCTTTGCTGATCTCTCGTTACAGGATCACTGAAGGTACCTTTTGGGTAACGATTGTTTTCCTCACATGTATTGTAACTAGCCCTAGAGATAGCCGTTTGGGTCCTCAGGCAGTTTAGCATTTAAGATTTACCTGTTCTTCTACCACTCTAATCTGGAGTGTTTAAGGAAAGATTGATTTGATGACTTCAGGAGGTCACGTCAGGAACCGTTAGTGTTACAGAACTAAAAGAACAAACAGAAATCCATGGCCCCGGGGGCCCAATTTGTCTCTTTAGAGTGCTGTTTTATAATCTGACTAGGAAGTAGAGGTATGTTTGTCTCTTCAATGTATTACTGTAAATACCTTTAAAAATGTTGTAAAAATACAGATGAAGCCGTAAAATGGAGCTACATTGTGAAAATCTTGCTGCAGAATAAGTGCATCTCTAAGAGCCATCAAGTTTGCTATGAACTGAGACTCCTACCTTGACTAACCTTCTGTGATATCCTCCATGGGTTAACAGAAAATAGCAAGTAAAACCCCTAGCTATACCATCGCTTCTGAATTTACACCAAAACATGCAGGGCCTTTGATGAATGACACATTAAATTGGATTAATAACATTGTAGTAGTAAGCATTAATGATGATGATCTTCATCTAAAATACTTCACTTAATTTTAATTTGTTTATTTTTTTATTATTTTCTTAGGTCCCTACACTTTTGTTCAGCAGCATCTCATGTTAGGTACAGACCCACGGACAATTCTGAAAGACCTGCTACCAGAAACTATTCCTCCACCTGAACTGGATGATATGACACTGTGGCAAATTGTTATAAACATTCTTTCAGAACCACCAAAAAGGAAAAAAAGAAAAGATATTAATACTATTGATGATGCTGTGAAACTTTTACAAGAGTGCAAAAAAATAATGGTCTTGACTGGAGCTGGGGTACGTATTGCTGCAGTGACAGTGAGAGAATACGTAGACAGGTGGTTAAATATTTACCCAGTGCTTTACAGCATGTGGGCGACGTGACCCTTGTGACATTCATAAGAAATAAAATAGTTGTGCTTGGTGGGAAGAGGAGGCACAGCTGTCTGCTAGAACAATGCACATGGCAGGGCTGGAGCTTAATTTGGAAGTACAAGAACCCTTTCCTTGGAAGAAACTGTTCTTGAACAGTTGCTTCCATGCCAAATAGTTAGGAGATCGCATCTGCCTATTCCCGGACATTTTCTATCCTAGTATTTTTTTCTTTTGAAACAAAGGTAGTCATTTATTTTTTTTACAAGACAAAATATCTCAAAATACCTGATGGAGCTGGAGGGACTAGAAGAATAGGACTTAAAAAGAAAAAAAAAGAGTTGGAGGAGGGGAAGATTAAAAGGAGAGTTTGGCTAGATTGCAGTAGACTGAATTTTACTTTCAACAGGTGCAGCTCTGTGATGGCAGTAAGCTTACTCACCTTTTCCTAAAGAACATTTTTAAGCTGTTGTGCATTTTGAGCTTTATACCAGATCACAATACAAAAGTCAATCATTTTTTGCTTCTGTTGTTCATGCACAGAGAGTGTGACACCTTTCAGAGAAGATGAGCAATTCTAACTGGCTCCTCAGAAAAGCATCGCTGCTTCTCTCACCCAACCTGTCCCATAGTGGTTTGGGGTAGTCTGAGACAATAGGTTATAATCTTTACTGACCACGTCAGTGCTCTGATAAACAATGATTGTCTATCAAAAGGTGTTTACTCGTGAGAAGTAAGAATCTATTACTTTTTAGTGTGTAAAAAAGAAAAAAATCAACCATGTTGTCCAAGCCTAAGTTGGAAGATCAGTGAACATCTACCAATTAAATGCAATGCTACACTATTTTACATTTTTGTTCACTTACAAAGCTTCCAGTAGTAAAGGAAGTTCTGGTGTCCTGTTACTGCCTGTATGGATTGTGCTAAAGGGTTTTTTTGTCAGGTTCTCAAACTGTTTATTGTGCTGTTTCTCCTGCTTGTGATTTGGGAACTGTTACATTGGTTAAAAAAAAAAAAGGAAAAAAAAAAACAAAGGAAAAAGAAAAATAAATACAGAGAACCCAGACTGGTTTTGTTCTTAATGTCTCTGAGCACTGTGAGAATACAGAAACGTGATTTCCCAAATAGTTTGTATCACTGCAACTCTTTATAGCCAAATGTGTCGTTTCACTTATTTCAGATTGCAAAAATATATTTCAGGTGTCTGTGTCTTGTGGAATACCTGACTTTAGATCAAGAGATGGCATCTATGCACGCCTTGCTGTAGACTTCCCAGACCTTCCAGATCCTCAAGCAATGTTTGATATAGAATACTTCAGAAAGGATCCCAGGCCATTTTTTAAGTTTGCAAAGGTATGGTTTTTCCAATAGTTCTTATCTTGGTCAATAAAGACAGATAACAATATTGAAATGCTTAAATCAGATATAAAACTATTCTGTTAACAAAATAGTATCTTTGTCCTTTTTTTAATTAGAAACAAGATAGAAAGATATGTTACTGTATTGAATATACTTTAATGAGATCTCACTCCGTAGTGTAATAACTCCCTGCTTGGGCAGCAATTCGCAGCGTATCCGTGGGGCATCCTCAGTGTCACCTCAGCCATTGTACGCAACCGCCCTATTGGAAATACCTTGCATCATTTTCTCTTTAAGCTTATTTTTGCTGTTCCTGTTACAAGTTCATTAAATGTACAGCCATTCTAGGTGGTGTCTCTAATTTCAGAGAGGATAAATAAAAACTCGCAGTTGCTTGATTACCTCAGTAATCTTAGCTGCTGTTACTTTCCCTGAAAAATGAAAGAATACGGAGAAACTTCTGGGCAGCACATGAGTAATGTGGAAAGCTACACTGGATTTTGATATGCTGTGGCATGCTCTCCAGTGTCATACAGTACATTCACATTTTATCACTGTATTTACAGTAAAGAGGACTAAAGCGGTTTCATGCACTAGTAAGTTTGCTCTTGCTTCAGGTTTTGATATAGCTGTCACAATGATCTGTGTATCTTAGAGAATGAAAAGCTTTTTGCAACAACTGTGTTCGCTTAAAAGGGAGAATGCAGCAGTTTCTAGAAATATGTTAGTGATATTAAGCAGTTTAAAAAGCAGGGAGTATGTCCCTGAGACAAGAAGGAATTGTAGAAGCTGTAGACCGTGCAGAAACAAAAAAAAATGTGTTTAGTCTGGAATTTCCTTGGGACAAAAAAAAACCCCAAACCCCAAAATATAAGAATTACTACAGGACCAGTAAGGACTTTTGAAAATCAATGGCTACTAGTTGTTGTCACTCTTTCTTCCTTTTGCTCACAATTTATACTATTGCTTTGTTATGTTAAAAGACTGGAATAGAAAAATCAATGCATTCTTCAGCTGTTTGGCTTTCTCTGAAAGCCACCTACCCAGATACTAACATATTTTGATTGTTATTTGTGTACACATACTCAGTTCCTTGGGTTTTTAATATTTAAAAAAAACCTAACACAAACTCCAATTTACTTGTAGCCTGTCCATACACAGGTTTTGCCAGATCCAATTTGTCTGATACTGTATGTTACTAAAATAATTTATCCTGCTTCTCCTTTTCTGTGCATCAGCTCAGTTAGATTTCTTATTGCACAAAATCTTAAGTTCCTTTAATTCTAGGGGCAAACACCAGCCAAATAAGTTTGCAGAGCTCAGTGGCAGAACATGTCTGGCTTCTCCCCATTAAGATATGAAATACATTTGATCATGTAGCTTCAGCATTATGAGGAACTTGAAATACTTTGGGGAAAAAAGAACTGCTTGCAAAAAGCTTTTTCTGTTTGTTAATAGTTGGGCTATATGGTAGCTGAAGGCAGAGCTATCACAGATTAATTTCACAGAATCAGAGAACGGCCTAGGCTGGAAGGGACCTTAGAGATCATTTTAATCCAGCCTCCCTGCTGCCAGGGACGCCAATTTAACAGTCACTGTTGTGCCAGGACTTTTGGGTCAGCTTTGGTATCTCCTGGTCAAGGTAGGCAGCAGCCTCCTCCTTGCTGGCTGTCCTTTAGCCAGCAACTGCTGTGCTTTTTCCATTAAAAGGCTTCACTTTCCTGGGTGAGGCTCCAGCCGAGGGGCTGCCGAGGTGTGAGAGAGTGGTTGGAGAGCAGAGGGTCCAGCCTTCGGGTTCCTCCCATAACCAAGTGCTCCTGCTGCCGTCCTTGTCGCACGGCAGCCAGCGGCTGGGGGGCGGGTT